ACGGTTTACCTGAATAACTTTTAATTGAAAGGTTCAGACGTATTCGATTTTTTTCTCATATTTTGATAAAAAATCACTTACAAGACAATTTCTTTTCAGGATAAACTCAATTCGCTTGGCACTTTTTTAGAAAAATCAATTTTTATAAAAACATTAATGATTTTAATTAGTGAACTAACAGCTTTTAATGTATTTGTTACATAAAATGTGCAATTCATTAGACTAGTGAATTATTGACTTATGTCACTTGTCACATGTCACATGTCGAAATCGTGATTGAAAATACCGTGGCGTTATTTCACCGTTTTTTTTTTTCAATTTGTCGCAGATTTATTTATAAATTAGATATAAATAATTATATTTGCATTGATTATAGTAGCAATGAAGCTAATAAAAAACCATGCATGGACTCACTCGGATAATCGCGAGAGAATTTGTTTGTTTTGTCTTAAAAAAAAGATAAAAGAAAAAATGTTTAAAATATGTGGAAAGATTCTGGAAAAAGTTCAAAGCATAGCTTTAAGACCGAAACATCAGCAGAAGTTACTATCGCTCTTTTAAAAAAAGAAAAAAGAAAGAGCGATAGTAACTGCTGCTGATGTTTCGGACGTTGCGGAAGTTTCACTAATATCGTTTTCAATATTTTCTTCTTTTACTCCAGCTTTACATTTATGTTTTTACCGCGGCCACCAACAATACTTGACAAACATTTGAAACATTTTTTTACTACGCGCTTTCTTTCTTTTTTAATGGGTTTATTTTTAGCACTTTTTATGAAATTATACCCAATTATTTCCAAGAAAGAAAAATCAGGCAAATTTAACTGGTTTCTATAAATTTCTTGTTTGGCTGCTTTATATAATAAAATTTCACCACCTTTGCATACAACTTTTGGTAATCGTTCATCTTCTACATCATATACTACTATGCTATGAACTTTTTCCAGAATCTTTCCACATATTTTAAACATTTTTTTTTAAGACAAAACAAACAAATTCTTTCGCGATTATCCGAATGAGTCCATGCATGGTTTTTTATTAGCTTCATTGCACTATATACTGTAATCAATGCAAATATAATTATTTATATCTAATTTATAAATAAATCTGCCACAAATTGAAAAAAAACGGTAAAATAACGCAACGGTATTTTCAATCACGATTTCGACATGTGTCAATAGTTCACTAGTCTAATGAATTGCACATTTTATGTAACAAATACATTAAAAGCTGTTATAACACTATAGTCATTATTTGGAGTTCACAAATAAAAAATCTCAAAAAATTGATTAAAAATCATTAATGATTTTATAAAAAATGATTTTTCTAAAAAAGTGCCAAGCGAATTGAGTTTAACCTTTCAATTAAAAGTTATTCAGGGACACCGTGAATTCCATATTATATGTAAAATTGACTATATCTCAAAAACTGTTCTACTTTAATAGCTTTTGACGAAATTTTCGGATTCAGGGGACAATTTTACATGGAAATTAACTGCTAAATGTTCCGGATACAAATTGCTATTGACGAGAATTTTTAGTGACTGCTTTTTCGCTATGACAATTAGTCATTTTTGACTAATTCATTTTTAGAGAGAAGACAATACAAAAGTTTTATTTGACGTTTTTTTGTAAAACCATCAATTTTAATGATTTTGAAGGCCAAAGTTTGATTTAAATAAAAATGAAAAGTATTGTCATTTAGGAATATTCTTTTCAAACTTGGGAAATAATATTTATTAATAAATATTTACCTTAAACTATTTACTTAAATTTTATACATTTTCGATTTAAATCCAATGGAAAAAAGTCCTGCGGGAATTATTAGGCGGCTGTTTGTTATCCCATTAATATTAATGAAAACAAAAGCGAAAGTTCATTAGGAAGTTTAAGGGACAACAATGGGAGGGGTAATATTAATGGATATTAATCGACATTGTATACCCAAGGATCGCAAAAAATGTTATAGATAGATAATTAGGGTTCAATGTGTTAAACAATTTAGAATTTCCATAGACGTTAAGAGTTTTAGAAATTTTTTTATAATTTTTTTTAATAGCGTGTATTTATCAAAACTTAAAAATAAGATATATCTATAGATAAATAAAAAGGCCGGTCCTGGCTAAAAACATATTAAATTACTTAAAATATTTGTTTGTTTATTTTATTTCTAGTCAACTTAAAATTCACCCTGTATACAAGGTGCAACAAAATTGTCGCCCCTTTTGGCAAAGATGAATTATTTTTAAAATTTCAAAATAAAAAAAAATTGAGCTCTCGCCTAGGTTAAACGTAGGAGCTTTAAACATTGCTAGGGGACGATAGAACATTGTTGTCTTAAAACTTTAAAAAATTTTTGTCCGACTGTGTTTACAAACCTTTCAAGAAGGAATGTCAAACTTCAGGACGGTAATGTTTTAAAGTAAAAATTAAACGACTAGTTCTGTACCCCAAAGTTAAAATCTAGCAACCACTACAGAATTCCACTATAGCAGCGGGATTATAAAATTTTCATTGAGGTCAAATACGAACCATAGTATGTTGGTTAGATATACCAATTTATCCATAAGGCAAGTTATATCCCACAAATTTCTTGGACTAGAAATTGATCAAATGCTGAACTGGAAATCGCACATAGATGTAGTTTGTAAAAAAGTGGACAGATTGTGTTTCAGTTTAAGACAACTAAAAGCTCATGTTTGTTTGTTCGTTTTAAAAACCTTTTACTTTTCCAAAATTCATTCCATAATATCTTACCGTATAATGAGCCCTTAATATTAATATTAAGGTTTGCCTCAATTCATTTGTTGTTTTTCCATTTCAATAACACGGGACATTTTTTTTTTAATTTTAAATTCTTATAACTTTGGAATGGTTTGTTTTCGCAACACCCAAGCGAGAGGATTTATAGGAAATTTCACGCTCTACAAAAAAACATCTGAAGGTCAAAGTTCTTCAGATCAACCGTTTCAAAGATATCAGCGATCAAAAATAACACTAATGACACCATTGAGTAAAGAACATCTTACTCAATGCTGACACTGTAAACTTTTTTTTTGCTTAAAAATATAATACTCGTATAAATGATTTTTGGTATCTCTTTTATAACAAATTTATTTTATATTTTATAAAATTTATAAATTTTTGTAAAAAGAAAATGTAAAGTTCCTTATTAAACTAACCAACCAAACACTCATCATTGAATTTTATTCAAAATAATACAAAAATTATGTAAAGATGCTAAATCAATTAAATCAACTACAAAATTTGATCAAATTTTTTTTATTTGAAAAATATCGATAGAGCATTATTTAGCTTATTTATGTTACGATAAAACTATAAAACAAACAAACCAAACCAACCCAGCCCAACACTTTTCAACAACTTCTAGTAGTATCGAAAAGTTTACAGTCTCAGGTTAACAGAATTAAAGTGATTTTACATAAAAAATAATATAAATATGACATATGATATATTTTTGTAGTTTTATTGGAAAATATTTGAAATTTTTTGATTAGTGTTATTTTTGATCGCTGATATCTTTGAAACGGGTGATCTGAAGAACTTTGACCATCATATGTTTTTTGTAGAACGTGAAATTTCCTATAAATCCTTTCGCTTGGGTGTTGCGAAAACAAACCATTCCAAAGTTATAAGAATTCAAAATAAAAAAAAATTCCGTGTTATTGAAATGGAAAAACAATAAATGAATTGAGGCAAACCTTAATATAATATTAATATAATATAATATTAATACTAAGGGCTCAAATAGGCACCAAAATTTTTGTTTTTTAATGTACTATTAATTTTTCAACACCATTAGAAGAAAAAATAATTGTTTTTTTAAACACCCTAATGTATATACAACAAATTACCAAGGAAACTTAAAAGAGTTACTTTAAATAAATTTAAATATTGTATAAAAACATTATTACAGGAACATTGTTTTTATAGTGTTAAAGAATATTTTCACCCATAATATAACAATTGGTATGATTATCATCGATGATATTTTCGAATTGAAACCGAGCTGCAGATTTCACGAGTCCGCAGGACGAGTGAAATGTGCTGCTTCTTTTTCAATAAGTAAATATCATCGATAATTTATATTTAGTGAGAAAATATAATGAATTTTAGGATTTAACGAATTGTCAGTTTAACATTTGAAATTAAAATGTGCTTTAAAATATAAAAAGACTTTAATAAACCTTATTTATTTAAAACTTACCTTAATTTTATTATCGTTTACACCAACCCATCGATCTTTTAGAGTTTATAATTCATTATTTTAATCATTTAACAAACACAGTATTTAAATATCAACAAATGTCAAATCAAGAAATGAATAACGACAGGAACAAAAATTAACAGCAGTGTCACAATGAAGTGGATTCCAGTCGACCAAATATTTTACATCTATCTAGCTTATCCTTTGCGTTAGGTAATGTTATAAATTAAAAACCCAAAATACAATTTAATTTAAAAAAAATTTAAAATCCAGAAACGTTTCATTACTTCTTGTCACGTATTTTGCAACGTTTTGCGAATGCACATGTGCATATAATAATAAATTCAGTCGGGAGCAGATATAGCTGCACTCGACAGCATTATATGCAGCGATGCAACTCGAAATCGCGAAAAAATAAAAGAAGACCTTCATTGTAAAATGTATATTATACATTTTTATCAATGTCACTACTACACACACACATTTTCCTAATGCATTTTTTATCGGTAGAATTTAACTAAATTGTTACAACATGTAAAAAAACAGGCATATTTTTTTAAAAAATACACAGTTGTATGGACTAGTATTATACTCATAAGCTTACATATTACGAAGCCCATTCATAAAGCTTTTTAGTCCCATTAACACACTATCTAAGCAAAAACGAATTAACACGACAAAACAAATGAGACCCACAGTCATAAATCGCCGGTTTCGGGCATTACGTCCCATTTTCCCCTTGATCTAATCTTGTCTCTTTCGTTTCTGTTTCAGAGTCCAGCGGTGTCCCGTGTGTAGTTTACAACAAGACTTACGAGCATGGGGAGACGTTCACTCTGGATTGTCGGACGCAGTGCGCCTGTCAGGTAAGAAGGATATAAAAAGTTTGTTTGATTCTATTTATAAAAAGAACTGTATAACTGAGAACGTTTTGGATGACTTCCGCACTAATAATGCGACATTCTTCTCGAATTTGATTGTTCAAGTCTTCTAAATTTTGTGGTCTGTTTATTTAAGGTAGCCTTGTAAGAAATAATCTAAAGGGGTAAGATCTGAAGATCTCGCTGGCCACTCTATCGGTAATCGTCTGCCAATCCACCCCTCAGGAAAACATGTGTCCAAAAAAGTACGGACTGGACCCGCTTAGTGCGGAGGTGCCCCGTCCTGTTGAAACCGAATGGTATCACTTGCTAGATCGGGACCTCCATTGTCATTGGGAAACATTTCTCTTAATGTGGGAAGAAGAGAGTTTTGCAAAAATTCCAAATACGTTTATCCTGTTATATTCTCGTCAAAGAATCCGATTTTTCACCATTCCTGTCCAGAAATTCACTTCTTGCTGGTATTGGGAATTTGCATCTACTACCCAATAAGGATTTTCTCTGCTCCAGTATCTACAATTTTAACAGTTGACTGTACCATACAAACGTTCGAAAAAGGTATTTTACGAGAAAAGTGTGGATTATTGTTACATAAATTCATCATAATTTCACAAAATTGTAGTCTACGGTCCGGATCATCTTCGTTAAGTTTCTGCACTAGTCTAATTTTATATGGATGGTACCTTTATTTCTTCATAAGACGTAATACTGAGCGTTGGCTGACTTGACTTTCAGCTACGACTAGGCCACACATAATAAAATGTTAATTTTATATATCGACACTTACTATATGTAGAATAACAAAAAACAATAATAAACTCAAAAAGATTGACCTTAAATATTTTGAGAAAAAAATAAGGCCAAATTTTTGAATAAATTTGTACTGTATAATATATTATGTATATGTAGTATTCAGGGTAAGTCATTTAACTTGAAACTTTGAAATATCTCAGTTAGTAAGCATTTTACGAAACAATGTTTAAAATAAAAATTAAATGATTCGAGGGGGGAAATCAATCAGTACTAAAATTGATCCTCATACTCTTCTCCTTATAGGGGGAACAGGAGGTAACTTTAAAATTTCCAATATAACACCCTATTTTTTTATTGCAGATTCGGATCATTCAACTAAAAATAGGTAGATTTTGTCTAAAAACATTTTTTCATATTTGTAATAGATGGCGCTGTAATGAATAAAAATCAATTTTGTTCGATTTTTCTTCTGTATACGATTCTTCAATAATTTTTGAATAAAATACTTGGTTTTATTTTTTAAATTTATTTATTTATTTCGTTTTAATATTCTGCCAACACTGCTCTGGGATATTCCCAAATCTCTAGATAATTCTCGTGTGCTTGTGCTGCTAATACATTAATTTCAATATTTCCACCTGTGACTCTTGCTCGACGAACTCTTTTTTTCGGTTGAACACTCCCGTTTGAAGTAAACTGCTTGACTGTATGGTGAAATGAAGTACGTGATCGAATTTTTTCCGGAAAAGGCTGAGCGTAGATATTAACAGCATCATCAAGATTCCTGCCTGCTTCTCCATAAATAAAAATCATTTCTATTTTTTCTTCCACTATTAAAAAATCCATTATTGCAAATTAATCTCTAAATAACATTTTTTATCTCCACGCGGTCTATAATTTAAACTTTATTGTTGTCAACATTCGATAAAGAAATACCTTGTTATGGCCTAGGCCGATAAAAAATTTTATGAGGCAAGTAATTAGTTCGATTTTTTCTCGCTAGGGGTATTGTTTTGACAAATTAATCCTTTTCTAAGAAATTAACGTACTAAACTGGTTTAATTTTTTTATAATAAGCACTAATTTGTTTGTTTTACTGTTAATGTTTAATATTTTTCATTAAATTATTGTAAAATTAAATATGAATAATAAAACACAAAGTGAGGTTAGGCAACCAAGAAAACGATTCTTTTTCTACGATTTAAATAATCTTTAAGTTTTTAATTGCTTTAAGTTTTCAGTGAAATTAAATGTTAAACACAGCTTAAACATTCCAAACTACCTATTTTTTAAATAAAAATCCAAAAAATTGAAATTAGATACCTACCTATTTATTAAACAATTAATTGAATTCAATTTAATAGCAAAAATCCATTTCTACTTAAATCATTTTGCTAGGTATTACTGCTTCTAAAAGCAATAATAATTATTGTACATGTACAATAATTATAATTATAAGGCTTTTTGTGCTAAGCTCAAGGTTTGAAGGCCGACGCGTAGCGGAGGCCTACAATTGAGCGAAGCACAAAAAGGCACTTCTTGGCCGAATTTTATCTTCAAAGCACTTTATATAGGTCAATTTAATTCAACATCAAAGCGGCCTAACCTCACTTTTTTAGAATCTCATTTATTTATTAGCTAAAGATTACATTAAATGCAATAATAATTATTATTGCATTTAATGTAATCTTTAGCTAATAAATAAATGAGATTCACTTTTTTAGAATCTCATTTATTTATTAGCTAAAGATTACATTAAATGCAATAATAATTATTATTGCATTTAATGTAATCTTTAGCTAATAAATAAATGAGATTCTAAAAAAGTGAGGTTAGGCCGCTTTGATGTTGAATTAAATTGACCTATATAAAGTGCTTTGAAGATAAAATTCGGCCAAGAAGTGCCTTTTTGTGCTTCGCTCAATTGTAGGCCTCCGCTACGCGTCGGCCTTCAAACCTTGAGATTAGCTCAAAAAGCCTTACTTCTTAACCTAATGACATAAATAACTATTTATACCTCAATTATGATTTAATTCAATAATTGATAAAATAATGTTTTTTTTACCTTAAATGAGGTATTTTTATTAAAAATTGTACAATAATCCTTTAAATTAAAGGATTTAATGCTGGCAGGTAAAAAGTGACCATGGTGCGCAATTGATAATTTTCACCGAATGAAATAATATATAAAACTGAAACCAAAGGAAACTTAAATATTAGTTAAAAATCGTGGGTACTTAAAAAAATCAGATTTAATTTAATAAGATAATTATTACCAAAAAAGTGATTTTCTTATAGAAAAATTATTGCAGAATCGTATAAGAAGAAAAATCTAACAAAATTGATTTTTTTTTATTACAGCGCCATCTATTACAAATATGAAAAAATGTTTTTGAAAAAATTTTTAGTTGAATCTGCAATAAAAAAATAGGGTGTTTTATTGGAAACTTTAAAGTTACCCCCTATAAGGAGGAGAGTATGAGGACCAATTTTAGTACTGATTGATTTCCCCCCTCGAATCATTTAACTTTTATTTTAAATATTCTTTCGTAAAATGCATACTAACTGAGATATTTCAAAGTTTCAAGTTAAATGACTCACCCTGTATATCGTACATACCCTTAGGGTTCAAACTCAATTTAATAAATGTCTGTTAAGCCTAATAGGCTAATGTTACAGGAAATTAATTGTATGTTATACCTATTGTGACAGTAATTGATTATGTCAGTAACAAAATTATTGAGAAATTAATATATTAATATATTAATATATTGGTATCAGCATATTGTTGAATGCTCTTTAAAAATATCTGTTTGTTATTGAAAACACAATTTCCAGAGAATGTAAATCCCAAAGTAAATATAAACTTGAAATGTACGTTGATCTAGATTTGCAGAAAATAAAACAGTAAAACTTATTCAGAAAATAAAGTAAAGCTGTTTTAATTTAAATCTTGCGTGTTAACATTTTTAATTGTCACGCGGTTTATATTAAACCGCAGAATATTTATGTTCGCGGATTTAAAACAAATGGGGGTAATCCATTTAAATATCTCGTTACACAAATTCTGACAAGCCAACCATAAATAATGCGGTATTATTTTCACAAATACATACAGTTTTTGTTCGGTTAATAACTCCTGAAACTCAAAATAATACTTAATTACAAAAACCCGATGGCAATCTGTCCAATAGGGTGATTAAAAAAATTCGAATATTTTGTTTTACTTCCGAAACTCAACAATTGGTTCTTACACAGTAAAAAAAATCAACTCTTACCAACACTAATTAGAGTTCACACAGGTCCACACTAAATGGTGTTGTTTTATAACACTACAATTAGAGTTAATTTTTAGTGTAATTTTCCCCAAGTAAGCAAGTTTGATTTAATACTATAGCACTGAGGATAAAGTAATTTTACACTGTATTAAAAAGTGTTATTTTACCTAAAATCGTGTACTTCTACACTTCCTGGGTAAAATCCCACTTTTGTTCAGTGTTAATTAACACTACTTAGGAAAAGTTCTAATTTTAGAAAGGTTCTTTTACTCTTTTAGTGTAAATTAACACTATTATTTGCGTAAAACCTATAGGTGGTAGTGAATAAAACGAAAAGGTAAATAAAGAGATACATTTATTTGGAACAAAAATCTATGACAATTATCAAAATCGGTGCCTTTTAAAATATAATTTTATATTTGAGTCGTATGGCTGGCTTAAGCAAAATGGTTCCTTAAAACGTAAACGTTTTAGATCAATGCAATGTTTTACTAGCTGTCAACTTGTAAGCAATGAATTATCTTGAGAATTCATCAGTAATCCATTTTTATGTTATAAAAAATTGGTGATCCCATTGGTAGAGACTCTCTACTAGAGAGGCGTCAGGCGGCTGTATGTTGGGGATTTACCACACGTGTACAAATTTTCCATAATATTAATAAAAATGTAGGTATAGGTTAATAACCATTACGCATGAAAATAAAAAGTAAATCAAGTGTGTATGTATTTATATTATTAATGTTACAAGTACACGACCTACTGCCGTAAATTATTGATATATAATATAGGTCGGGATGGATATCCTTTTAACATACTGGTATTTATTGAGTATTAAGGCTTAAAGAAAAAGAAAGTATAATACTTACCAAAAAATAAGAATGTCCCCTTATGGATTCACCGTAATTAAAATCTAACTGAACAAAAATGCCACATTTCCACAACGCGGTATCCCCG